AAATTAGATATTACATGAGAATATTAGTATGTTTAAACCGAACATAATGTTTTCGGTCACAAAATAACCGTTATCTTGACGCGCAGTGAATACAGGTGTGATAATGATTTTCCTTAAAGCCTTACTGCATTTTGCTGTTGCCATTAAACTGAACCTTGAGGGTTTGGTTTAGGGATGAGATTGGTTTAAAGGGTAACATTTTATGTTTCTGGTCATACCTGGGCACGGTAAACTCTGTACCTCTAGTAGGAAAAACTTTCGAGTTCGTTTCGTTGCGTATTCAAAGTGTCATCGAAAAATTTTGTATGAAAAATTAAACAGCGCCCCCTAGGGCGGCTATAATATAGGGGGCGCTGTTTAATTTTTCATACAAAATTTTTCGATGACACTTTGAATACGCAACGAAACGAACTCGAAAGTTTTTCGTACTAGAGGTACTGGTTATAATGCGTCGCGTAGACGTCACGTTTACGACGTAGGGAATTCCCGACACTAATCGAGCGAACATTACTTACGAATAGTTTCTACCAAGATACCATTCGAATTTCAACTAGGCAATAACATGATAGTACCCACGGTTACTTTCCAGAGGTTAAATTAGGTAATAAGCCATTTCACTGGGCTTGTGGTAGGCACTATTGGCCACAAGGCCTTTTTAGGGTTGCGTAGCCAAATGGCGAACCTTTATAGATTCGTCATGTCTGTCTGTCTGTCCGTCTGTCCGTCCGTATGTCACAGCCATTTTTTTCCGAAACTATAAGAGCTAAGTATACTGTTTAAACTTGGTAGGTATATGTATTCTGTGAAACGCATTAAGATTTTGATGCAAAAATAAAAAAATAATAATAAATATTGGGGGCTCCCCATACTTAGACATGAAACTCAAAAATTTTTTTTTCATCAAACACACGTGTGGGGTATCTATCTATGGATAGGTCTTCAAAAATGATATCGAGGTTTCTAAAATACTTTTTTTCTAAGTTCGCGGAAAGCGTAAATAATCGTTTTTTGGGTTGCAGTAATGTCGTACGGTGGTTCTACTTATTATAAAGATTAATTTCGTATAAATACTTATGAAATATACTTAGGTACTCAAAACCAAGCTTACGGGAATTTAAGGGACAGGTTGACAAAAACTCAAGACAGCGACCTAAGGTTGTTGTCCCGAACTCGATGTCATTATCTTTTCCCAGGAAATTAACGATCAACTTTTTTCACTCCTGAATCTACTACAGCCAACACTTCCTTCTCCAATTTATTTTTTCATGTTTGTACAAAATAAAACGTATAATGAGATTGCCTAATTGTTAATATACATTAGGTTAACTGATCCCACGGGATAAATACGAGTGTCTTCAATAGCATTACCGCAATAGTTTAGAACGTTTTCATTTTACATCATAAAATTGACTAGTATTGTGAACTAAGCGTGAAAAATACTACACGCATGGAAATCGTGAGAAACGAGTCTTTGTTACCAAATCGGTGAGAAGGTAAGAACTGTTTCTGTCATTGCCTATGTGTCACACTGGGAAATGAGTCTAGATTTTTTTGGTTGAACATTGACGGAGCTAGATCTCTAGATAACTGGTAACACATTAGGCCTATGCAGATATTAGATAAATAATTTAATTATTATGAATTATTGTACAAAATACGATAAAACTTACACGTGCCCATCGAAACCTACTTAACAGGCTGTTTGAAACCTACTTAACACAACCTTTCAGTAGCTAATTAAAATTCAATTTGGCGTTTTTCAGATTTTAAAGACCTCATCAAATATTTCAGGATATTTTCAACAGTTACTTAGAACGGGATTTTGCTAAAAAACTATTATTTTTTTCAGTTTGGACTCGAACCTTCAACTTTTCGCTAGCTATGAGTTTGCCTCTAGCCGATGAGCTATAGAAACATTGATATTATGTAATGTACAAGATAGAGCAAATCTTTTATGTTACATACGCATACCTACTTAGTTACATGCTTATTTTTATATTCCTGAACTTAGACATAATCTCTTAATCTCATAATCTTGTAGACAAAGGATGAAATCATGCAGATATTGTTCCACAAAAGTAGCATTAATCATGTGTCTGTCTCTTCAATTCTTCACTCTGTTACTATTCAAATATTCCGTAAACATATCAGTACGGGCTTCACAATTTATCATCACGGCTCAAATGATAACGATATCGCTGGCGTCGTTGCCGTTTAACGATTACTTATTGTAGCGGCCGTTATGAACTCAAGTATATAACGAGATTACTTATATCTGATATCACGATCGTTGATAACAGCTGTTATCAAACGTTGAGTTGATAAATGCAAGGAGCCATTGTGTTTTATCAGTTCATCACACAGTAAAAGCGTGTACCCGCGACGTTTGAAGGACGTTACTTTCGTTAGATAAAATATTGTTTACGATATATTCGCTAAGCTAGTCCGTTACTAAGGTATCAAACGCACGTAGGTATCCATATTAATCAAACTATACGTGCACATTTATTTACTGACTTTCATAAAAAAAGGCTTTGGTAATTAAGTAAGTAAGTATGTTAAATGGCATTTAACTTATTGAGGTAAAAATATGAGCTTCCAAGTCTTTCAGTTGATTATGTAATTTATTTTCAGCTATAAAATAAGTATACTTATTGATTGTAAAGTGTGCAGAATTGCAAATGTTTATTGTTAGGCTGACAATGAGATTAGTCACGTCAGTACTTAAATATCTTTTCACAATACGTTTTACAGATGAGTAGTCTATGAGAAGAGATGTGTTAGGAGAGATTGGGAAAACTATTACTAACTATTGTCCATAGAAAAATTCCTTACACGTAGCTTCGTTCATATCGCTAGTAGGTATTAGTTATTTGACTAGAAAATGATCCAATACAAATAAATCCAATGTTACTGATTTCATTTAATCCGTGGATTCAAAGCATTAGATGATTGAGATTGATTAACTTTTAGATAATTAAGTAATCAGGCGTTTTAGCCATATTGAAGTGAATTGGTCTTGGTTATGTGTTTTACGAATGTAGAGGCTGTGATTCAAGCATTATTGGTTCAAAGAAATCTTCAAACTTAAGTATATGGCGTAGAAAGAATATTCACGTTTTCTGTCAAAACATTATAGTTATAAACAGAGAAAGATTTCCTATCTTTCTTTCTCTGTTTATATTATTTTTGGATTTAATCTTAAATATCAGACAGATCACAGAAGTGATCTTTCATGAAACGATGTTTCCTTTAATTTGCGTCGCGCAGTCGGGTAAAAATAAGTACATTTAGTTCCTCTTTAATGCGTTAAGTCACTAATGCCCGTTTTCACCATCAATCCCTAATTTTTAAGTTATCGCTATGGAAAACAAATTCCTGTTATGTGTTACCATAGGGGTCACTTAAAAATTAGGGAATGATAGTGAAAACGGGCATAAGTATAATATTTTTTGTATAATCCAATAAAACCTAACGAATAAGCGTTATAATAACGATAGTGCTCGTGACGTAAATAAATAAATAATTTGATCGTTTGATAGACTCAAATAAAATTTAATCCAAATATCAGCAATTTATTTTATTATCTAACGACCGGACTAATCACAAATAAAATACATAATATTCGGGATCGAATACTTACCTACTTCACTTAAACATAAGGTTGTTACATTGATGTAGGTGTACCTTATAACATTATTACTTACATAATTAGATAATTGATTGATAATCATCACGTAAAGCCCTTGTTCTGATTGAATCAACAATTTTGTTGACGTTGCTTCTTCTTCTATCGTGTAGATTGCAACAATAGATACCTATAATAAGTAGGTATGGTAGATATTATGGTGTAACACACATAGCTCAGTCAAAAATACTTTACCTAACTTCATAAATGTATCACTTAATCCGTTGAATCATACTTATTTTTAGATCACCTTGATTCAAGTCTTAAGTTCGTTCGTTCTCGTTCGTTCGTTTCAGCCGAAAGACGTCCACTGCTGGACAAAGACTCCCCCAAAGATTTCCACAAAGGCCGGTCTTGCGCCGCTCGCATCCAGGCACCTCCCGCGACCTTCACCAGATCGTCGGTCACAGACCACACAACGTGGTCTGTGTCGTCGGTCCACCTAGTGGGAGGCCTGCCCACGCTACGTCTTCCGGCTCGTGGTCGCCACTCAAGAACGTATTTTGACGTACTCGGCGTGTGGCGTATGCGTCTGACGGAAATCGAACTCGGACCTCCGGATTAAGATCAACGTTTTACTTGAACGTCTTTTCGTTCCGGTCTGTCTACTTACATAGTAAAATACATACATTGAAGGTAGAGAAGGCCATATTGTTGTGAAATAAGCTTATTTAGGCTACAAGTTTTAACTAAAAGAAAATAGGGTAGGTAACCTACGCTTTTCTTCTAACTCACTAAATTTCATAGATAAATGTCATAGCTACTACTATGGGTTTAAGATTTATCGTATCGTAAATAATCTGTGATTGTAGTTGATAAAAAAAAATATCATCACCACATTTTTGTCGTGAAAATAAACTAAGTTACGTCTAATAATTAATTTAATTAAGTTTTGGCAATGTTCGTATTTTATAGATACTTCGTAGACGTACCTCTCCCATATTAATTACGTTTACGTGGTGCTACGATCCTCGTAGTAGTTGTTTCTTTCTACACTATTTCCATGATCGTAGCAAGATTTAAAATAAGAGTATACTAGTGCCATCTATCGTGGAGTAGTCTAACTTTCTTGTATTGTGTCTTTAAAAAAACTCACTAGATGGCGCTAAATATTTTATGAAACTACTCGACAACAGATGGCGCTAAATAAAATAAATAATATTGCAATTTTTTTCAATAAAATCGTGGTTTCAATAAAAATTAAGTCTTTTAACAATTAAATTAGCAATCAACATAACTAAACTTGCTGAAATAATTTCAAAATTGATGTTTAATGCGCATGCTTTTTAAAATGAAGGTCAATGCGCATAGTCAAAACATTGCGCATTTCATTGCTAACCTCCCTTCAACAGACAAGAGTTGATCGACCAGCAAGCAACTGAGCTGTCAGTGGCCAGTGCAAGCCTTTCAGTTCTTTTCTTTCACATTTGTGCTGTATTTTGGTGCCTAGTGGGTGTGCTAAGTGTCTTCGGCCGTCTTTTGTTTCTATTAGGTGCTACAAAACAAAACTTTCAGGTAAGTCGGCTAATTCGATTACATTTAAAGAGTTTTATTCAAAGAAGTTTCGCCGCATTTTGGTAAAAGATTGTGCGTAATGATGATACAAGTTAATGAAATAATCATTAATTGAATTAAACTTTGCTACTTGGGGTAGCTAAATTGTAATTATGAGTTAATATACATCCGTTACACACTAGTCATCATTTGTGGGAGGCTGATGATGTCATGTCATTACTTTCTTCATAATTTGTTCTTAGCGATTTTGTATCATTACATTATTTATAATTTGTTGATAACGCTGTTTAATTTATCTGATAAATCCTACATTCGAGAATGTATGAGAAGTGTTATGGTTTTGTAGCACAATTTCCTTCAGCAGCACATAACCAACCTAAAAATATATTTTATTGAATGTAGGATTAGCATTGTTATCTAAACAGCTAAACGCTGTATAAACCACAAAGTTTGTATTAAAATTAAACAGCTAAGCTTTTATGTAGTAATTCTTATTGCCGCTAAGAGAGATCTTACCGTTATAATATGCATAATATGCATATCTCCTTCACTAACCATTCAGAAATACCTACTCATTTAGTTAAAACATCTTAACACTATTAAATTACTTCAATACACGTAATGGGCTTTCAGCTTTAAATCAAACCTCAAAAAAGCCAAAGAACCGACCAACATGGTTAGAGATTTAGATGATTGAATTCCCTGGAGATACGAATTTCTATTACTGATTAGCGCTGCTAGCTGGTTATGACCTACAACTACAAATCATATTTGTAACTATACAGGGTGGAAACGATAAGTGATCTCACTCAATTATTTCTAAACTATACAAGATATCGAAAAACTGGTTACTGATCTTGAAAGTGCTTCACGAGCTCTTTCAAATGGACGGACGTTACAGAATTAACTGGATCTATCCGAAAATTCAATGTTTTCAGTTTTTTATATTATGTGGTTTTACTAAATGAAATAGAAGCTGGAAACGTTGAATTTTCGGATAGATCCAGTTTATTTTGTAACCAAGTCAATCAACTAAAGTTAATTTTGCAATTGGTTTACAGGAAAAATAGCATTTTACCAAATTAGTCATTAGGTTTTTTATCGTTTATACTCACAATGATTGGCAAAAATTAATTTAGTATTTATTTAGTAAAATTACCATGTTTATTTCAATAAAGTTAGATTAATGCAAAATTAGGTAACTGTTACAATTTGATAGGTTGTTGTGATATTATCATAGTACTAGATTAATTTAAAAAAATATTAAATCTCTTATCTACATAAGGATTCTACTTCTACTTGACAGCGGTACCCCCTTTTTGTGATTTAAAATCTGTAAGAAAGCACCCACCAGCTCCCAGGGCGTTCGTTCTTGAGGTTTAATCTTTTGTATATTAAAACGACATACTTACCCGTCAAAACCACATCATCCTCAAAACGGTCTTCAAAGATAAATACCGGTACTTATGTTCGTGAGGTCCTACCGATACCACTTATGGCCGCCAGGTCCTAGGCCGCAGTTTGTCATTTCATCGTAACCAAACATCATCTCTCTACCTAACTACTGCCTATCGGTTATACCTGACCGAAGAAGTGGGTACGAAATTGCTGCTGCCTTTGTCATATTGTGCTCCACCGCGCTAATCTACTTGACCCTACAGATTCTTTAATCTTCGTACATGTCTCTATCTTCTTCTTGTCGTGTTGACAACAAACCTACACAGCGTCAGCCCAAAACTCCGCCTCAAGAGTGGCGTTGTCAGTAGCCTTCATTAAATCTTCCTGCCTGCAGTTGTTTGAGCACGAAGGGCACGACATCATTTGTGCTGTCGACTGGGAAACAAAACCACACTTGCACTCCAAGTTTGAGCCATCCAAGAATCACCACGTCTATGTCTCTATGAGTCATAAGAGGTCATAAGCTATGACGCGACTCTCCCCCTCCTGTGGGGCCAAACAACAAGGTCAAAAAACAAATATATGTGACGTCCTATGACATGGGGCAGTTCGAATAGGCACCTCTTCTTTGATACCACTTGTACACGTAATCCTGTAGGTAGCCGTTTGAAGTTCGCCTCTGAGGAAACGAAATCCACCCTAATTTTGTATGTGAGACCAACATCCAACTAGGGCTCCTGTAGGGTCTACTCCGAGGCCGGTTTTATGGTTCAACTTCAACAGACTAAACTCGGAGTTAACTCGGAACCAAGTTCGGAACCTTTCGAGGACCTTCACTTATCATATTCGCTGTGTTTTCTCTATCCATAGAGCTGGAAACGACTTAAACTATTTTTCGAGGCACGTTCTTAACTCGAGAAACCATCTCTCTTATTGGTGCTCCGACACATGTGGCCATACAAATGCGTATCATTTGGTCTTCTGCTGAAATACCTCATTCTGGATTTTATCCCTCAGAAATATGTTATTGAAATACCAATGAAACAATTTTACATAATTCATAGGACGGCAATTGCGAGGTAGCTGCTCTCAGCTAATATTGTATGAGTCAGCTCCAAGCCAATTTGCCACAAAGGATAAAGTCTCGCTGAACTTATAAATACTTAATGAAGTTCGCTGAGGTTTTTACGATCATTGAGGTAATTAAGTGATGGGATGTTTTTGTGTAATCTTATTTAGTCATCTCGTGGTGACTCAATGGTGAGCAATTTAAACCTCATAGACGCGGCAATATGTAGCTACTTCATCTATTTTAAGACAATATCAAGTGTTTGAATTTCTGAATTCGACTATTCGATGGCTGGTCGATGACTTGCCATTGTGCTGGTATCTCATCCTGCTGCTATTATTCAACAGATTTTCAACTCATTACAATACGTTCACATAATCAAGATTCTCTTCACAATGCAAAATTGAACACAATGGAAATTATAGTGTCTTAACCTGAAGACTTAGCTAGTCGGTATTAAAATTACCACAACCAAGGAAGAAACACGTTTTTAGCCTGTAAATTAACTGCCTAGGTAGGTTCCTGGTAAGAAATCCCGTTGCTTACCGAGCATAGGCTTCATCGGTGCATGCCATAGTATCAATCAGTAGGTAGGTATTTTATTAAATCTTTGTTCAGTCTTAAGCGCCACATCTTGTAAACTTACCAAAAACCATGTTCTTACCTTACTTTGATTAGTCTGGTCACCCGTCCTCTACCAAACGCAGCATGGATGACTTATCTTCGTTAATAACCGGAACGCTGTCGTCACTGCTTTATCTTATTAGTTCATTAGAATTCCCTTGGACAACTATTCGAAGTCGACTTTCATTTATAGGGCAGTCCTTTGCCATAGGCCAAGGGCGTTTAACGCATTAACGCGTCTGGGAAGAAAATGGCATCTATCAATAGACTTGATTGACTATGGAATGAGCTCGTAGTTTATTGAACCGTTATTATGCGTCTACTGTTTATAGTTATCGATCGTCGTTATTTATGAATACTGAATTAATTATTTTATGAAGTCGTCTAGTACAGCGTTTGCCTTTGTTGTTGAAGCTGTGTTATATTTTGGTTAACAGTGTCTGTCTGATAAATAGGTAATATGGTTTCCACGGTTTTGGGCCAACATCTCTTCCACCATAATTCCTCTACCACCTCACAATACCCCACTTTTGCGTTTAAGTTTCCTAATTATTACTTCATATTATTGCCATATAATTAGCGCCTCGTAGCGCTAGTAGGGCTCGAAAGATAAGACTTAAAAAGAGAAAAGACTCGAAGAAAAAACTTAAAAAGAGTCCCTTACTCTTTTAATTATTCTTCCTTTTTTGACGTTCAAGAGTGCTAATCTTGCTCAAAGTTGAATAAAGACATTCCATTTCTGAATATTCTTACGACGAAAATATTTAGTGCCGGATTAACCCACATATTATCACAGGTGTGGATTTCTTAGGGCATCAAGTAGGTACCTAGTCCTAATCCAGCAATGCAATAATTGTCTTAGTCTACAGGGTCATAAAGTAGGTATCTCACTAATCATGAGACTCAAGAATTAATGCAGTAGAGTTACTGCGTTAGTAAATATGTATCGCAACCATTGTTATCCCTAATAGCATGTTCGTGCACATACTGACAATGAAATATGTTTGCCTCGTATTTTACGCATAATGATTTAATAAACTTGGGTTGGCACAAATCCCTTCATAACTTGTATGTCATCAAACCCTAAACTTTTTCCAAGAAAGTACCTACATGCTTGAGGATTCATTTGTCCTTGCTTCTGACCTTTTCTGAGTAAACAGACACTAGCTAAAAGTTAAGATTCGTCACGTCACTAATTTCTACAAACTTGACAGAAATTCCTTCACAACAATAGTGAATAGGCACTTACTTACAGGGCAGATATGTACCATCATAGACTGCATCCCACTTAACATCAGGTGCGATTATTGGCAAATACCTGCCTTGTTTTGCATAAAAAAAACATATTGTATGTACCTATGTCTATGTTATCGAATCGCCAAACTTTTCCCAAGAAAGTTGAGGATTAATTTGTCTTTGGTTTTGACCTTTTTTGAGTAGGCAAAAGTTAAGATTCATGACGTCACTCAATTCTGTTTGAACAACAATAGCTTTTTTCTTGGGAAAATCTATGAGCCCGACAAAATCCTTCTAGTTAGGTACGAGTATAATCTAGATTTGGAAAGCTTATAATGCCCAGTTCACGGGCACCTTTTAAACGTTACCTAGGTAGGACATCAGATACGGCGATTACATCCTTCCTGCAAGCAGTGGCCTGGCTGAAGGTAACTGCACTTACTGAACGGTTACCTTCCCACGACCCTGACTGATAACGTGTCCATGTGAACCGGGTTATAACGTTTTATCTGATATCTAATATGAACGCGAATTTTCGCGACGATGGATTTATGTTTGTTACTCTTTCACGCAAAAGTACTAAATGGATCTAGATTAACTTATAAGTAAATAAACTTATACCTACATCGTAATAAAAATAATATAATAGCGTCTAATAAGAACAATGTAAGAT